GGGGGGGGGGGGGTAGAGAAACAGCAATAAAATGGCGAAGGAGGACTCTTCCGCGGTCTGTCACTGCATCCTTTATGGAATCCCTGGAGCAGGTTTACTTTTTCTTAAGAAACGGTTGGATGGTCCCTCTTGTGTCTCTAAGAATACTGATACGTGAGTATGGGCCAATACGGCAGCAAGTTCCTCAACAGCCATGAGCTGGTATATCAACTTCCCGTAAAGCCCATGAACGTACGTTGCCTCGAATTAGACATAGGTATTTCATTGACAGGACAATACGAATATTCCCCGTTTAACCACTAAAATACCCAATTTCCAGAATCCTTCGAATTTCACAAGAAAATATCATCGCGTCCCAACTTCATTTTATACAACTTATGCAACGTCACTTATGCGAGGAAAAGACGCTCGCACGACTGGCTATACTTGTACACGTGTGTAAGCGGACATGTGAACATATGTGTAGTATATTCGTAGCATCACTTCACCGACGACGATGTACCTTCCTGGGAGTTCATTGCTCTTGAGGTGCGAGTGAGCGAGTGAACAAGCAAGTGAGCCAAAAAGAGAAGGTAGAATCCAGTGAGAGAGAGAGAGAGAGAGAGAGAGAGAGAGAGAGAGAGAGAGAGGCGCGCAGACTGCGAGCTGGGAGTCGCCCTGGGATGGGAAGCACCGAGAAGGACATACCAATAAGGTTGAAAAACTGCCAAAGAAAAGAGTGAGATTGACGAATTAAGACAAGAGTGATCATACGAGTACCCTGTGACTGTTAATCATTCAAAGATCATTCAAGGTATAGAATTGAACCTGATAATCAGTAAATATATCACTGACCATTTTTCAACCATCGCAATTTGACATTCATCAACTTGAACAAGCGAAATGTTGAATTTTGACATGGCAACGAATTTACCCACTTTCCTCAAGTCGCTAATAAACTGTTTCATCAACACCACGAGTCGAGCGCAGATCAACGGAAAATTACAGGAAAATGTTGAACGGCAGAGATTATAGAAGGTACCGGACACGAACCGAGTGCAATGTACCTGGATGAGTCACACGAGAACTAACATTTACGAACTCGTATACGTTTCAACATGCTCGACTGCCGTACAAGACTCCACACATGTTGAGTTTTTGGGTCTTCATTAGTGCATATCTCTGTTGCACTTTGTATCTCCAGGAGCATATTTGGACTGGATGTCGATATTTTATTTTTGTGAAATCGATATCGATATTGTATGAAAAAGATGAAAATTAATATAATTAAAAATTAATAATTCGGCCGTCAGGGTTGAAAAGAGTAATTTTGTAATATGTTGAAAAAAATATTGTACTCTCAGCCAAGCCGATGCGAATGAAACAAGCAGATGGCTTCAAAGGGAATTGTAAACGTGACCAAGTGGGTGGGAGCCTTTAAGTCTGTTACGCAATACACGGATTTAGTTTACTTTCCTCCGGAGCGATGCCACTCACGTACTGTGACCGTGGCACTGGACTATCAGCTCGAACGAACTTTCACGTAGTCCTTGTTCGACCACTGACTTGACTTCGTCAACATCGTCGTTGATGTTAGTGCTAATAACACTATGAGAGACAGGGGATTGCTTGTATCGTTGAACACGAGTCAACGTCATCCACTAGTCTCAATGACTCCGTACTCATACGTTATTGATGACTCGACGACTTTCAACTGTCATTGTCAATGTCACTAGCACTGTCAATGCCACCGGTTGGCATTATTGTCAACAGCTATGGGATATCTCCTACCAGACGTAAGAATCGTACAGATCTTACTGCCTGAGATTGTCGTGTTGATTAATCATTTTCCACTTTCACTTGTACGTATGAAGTTGATAACTGTTGAAGAGCAGTTGGCAGGGTTCTCGACTGTTGAGTCAACAAGGAGCTGAATTTAATGAAATTTAAAGATTGTTGAAAAATTTAGAGAAATTAATACTTTCGGTTGATGTTGAAAAGGTTTTAGGGGCGGTCTCTGGCGGTACTCGGGTGAATCTTTCACTGGTTCTTCACTCTTTGCATAAACCTGGCGTCGCTACGACAACGTATTGCTCGTATAAAGTAATTCTTCGAGTGCAAAGTGTTAAGTGTCACCTGAAAGATAGACCTGAATAAATTTTGATAAACGGACCTTGACCGCTTCCAGAATGAAATTCAACATCGAAATACTGAGACTGAGATCAGATTCGTATCGGTGGTCGGTATTGACAAATGTATAATTCAAGCATTGGCCGTCACGGTGTATCGTCACTGCTTTTCGGATCTTTGAATCTCTGCCTTAATGGACATCTTTTTCCAGCGCTGAGCCAATATCTTTGAAAACTTGGAAGATCGTTGTTACCGAAATGGGATTGATCTTTAAAATTCATTTTACGTATTACGTAATACGTCACGGTGCGCGTGAGATATTTCGTATGTATTTGAAAATTCATTACTGTAGGTTCGCGAAATAATATGTATTAAATATTGTGATCGTTGAGTAAGCATCATTTTATATTTTAATACACTATATTCGAAATCAAAAATTTTTTATTTTCGATTTTCAACTTTGACATCGCATTTTCTTTCCTAATCGTTCTTATTTGTACGTTTTCTTAATTTCCGGTTTGATAAGACCAGTTCACTGGTATAGAATCTGAAATAGACGTGCCTAGGACAAAATTTGCTTTCCAAATTTTTCGGATAAACGATTTCCCACGTAGGTATGGGGAAATGAAAACGAAATTTGCCCAAAGTGACAGCCTCATTTTTTTGTGAAAAAAAATGATGTTACCCAAATAATCAATAAGGGTGAAAAATAGAGAAATAAATGTAAATAAATGTAAAATAAAAGAAAGAGTAAAAACAAACCTTGTTTAATGACGATACTCGATGGCACCTGGACAATCGGTAGTGGGGCGTTCGGGGGATTTACCGGATGATTTCCGGGTGTTCCTGGGGGTGGCGATGCACTCGCACTACCTACGGATCCTGGGTCGCTGAATCCCTGGGTACTGTTCTCCTCCGGAGCGTCGAAAAAGCTCAAATTAAATTCACTCCCGGCATCGAAGGACACTTCCGGCGTAAGGGTATCCGGCGCGGGTGCGCTACCCAGTCCCGCAGTCAGCGACTGATCGATTTTGAAAACATCCATTGTACGAAATGCAAATTCCCCTGAAACTTCCTCACCATTCGCGCGGCACTATTATTCCGAAAATACCATCACGATAAAAACCGACTCTCGTTCGGCACCGCAAACACTCTTGATATTCTTGCCTGAACTCAGCCAACAAATTGCCAGCTGCGCGTTCCAGCTCTTTCTCTTCGGCCAAACTTTTCCTCTATTACTTTTCGACGACTATCTGTTCCCTACAGCAACTTTCAATCATTGTCCGCTCACGTGCCACGTGCAATCATGCACATACGTATATTTTGGATTTTGGATTTTCACAATTTTCAAATCGCACCACCCCCTTCATGTGCTCATACTCTCTATGGACACGAGTGGCTCGACACCAGGCCGTCAGCTTTTCGATGAAAACGAAAATTTTTTTTTTCCAATTTCCATCTATATAGATATTTTCGTTCGAAGGTAATTAGCAAAAACAACCAATCGCAATCGAATACGTCTTACCGTCACAAGTCGTTATTGGTTTTTTATAAACTAAAAAAAAAATGCCAAAAGATCGTTGTATTTTGAAAAAACTGCGGCTGGCGCCGCAATTCGCCTTTGTCGCTTTTTTTCTCTTGTTCTTGTTTCTTTTCCTTTCTTGTTCGATAGAACTTTATCCTGTCATTTGTCCCTGAACAAACGCAGGACGGCACAATCGACAATGCATCGCACGAGTCGGACATTCAACCCATTATTTTGGATCTCGTGAGAAGCCTTCGTTCTCCTAATGATGTATTCTTTTTCTCGGTTAAGTCATAGCTGCCCTTCGTACGGAGTATCACTGGGTCCGGCATCCTTTTTGCTTTTCGCGCGATTCCTCGCTGAAACGAGACAATCAGATCGAAACGGAATGAAAATCGAACGGAGAACGAAAAAGAGTGAAATTGGTTGAAATTAGGGAAAAATTTTCCAAAAAATATTTTAACCATACAACTTAACCCTTTCCATTCCCATACAGAAACTCTACTTTCGGATTAAATTATCTCAGTAATATTTCTCAGGATACCCCTAATGCCTACGAAGACGATCGTAAAAATTTTCGCGCAGCATCCACTCGTACGCGGAGAAAATATTCTGGTATTTTTTTACCATAAAATTTCTTCAAATTTTACTATGTCCTATAGTGCATAAGTGTACGGACGTCGCTGCTTATTTTTCCAAGAAACATAATAAATTTTATGACAATGCAATAAGATTCAATATTCAAGAATAATTATCATGCAGCAAACGGACCCCATCGATTGGACCAGTCTGATTACGTAACGGCGAAAGCTTCGAGCGAGACTCGAAAAAAGCGTCTATTTTATTATAAACGCGTTAAAAGTATAGCTAACGAAAATTGTCAAAAAAAAAAGAATGCCACTGAGTGAAGCAAAAATAAAAAATTTCTAAAATCCACATTTTTGTAAAACAATTTAAAATTTTTTTTTTATTATCATTTTTCTTGTCCTTTCGAGTCTCCCGAGACAGCGTAGTGCGAAAATATGAAAAAAAAATTGCAAATCTACATCCAATCAGATGATCCTGATATCGAATAATTAGATCTTTCGAATGTTTTTTTTCCCAACCGATTTCTTTTAATATATGACAACTCCTACGCGATTCTGTAATACCACGTGAAATTCTTCGTTCTCTCCTCCGACCACTCTCTCGGCATATCGAAGAGACTTCGAGAGGGAAAAAAGGCGAGAAGCACGAGGAGGAGAGTGAGAAAAAGTGAATGTCATTGCCGTAATCTTCGGGCGTTGACTTCCTCTTGGTTCGTCCTCACCCCCCCTCTCTAC